GAGAGAGAGAGAGAGAGAGAGAGAGAAAGAGAGAGTGATTCTTATGTTTTTTAATTTATGCAAGCTACACTGAGGCATATTGTATTTCAAGAGCTTTTCTGGTTTTCTGACTAACTTCTGTTCATTGTCAACACAGGAAGGGGAAAAGCATGTGAACAACCTCTTTTGACTTTCTCTTTGTGTATGCATGTATGTGTATATCTGTGGCATAGCAACAAAGCAGGCACAGGGTATATTTAGCTACACAGCGTGTCACCATCACCACACCTAAACTGCTAGCATATCCTATGAGCGCATGTCCACATTAGCAGGCTGGCAGACAACAGAAACCTCTCACAATTAGCCAACAATGCCTAACACAAATTTACATTCCCCCAGGGATGGTTTTCAAAATCTGTAAGACAATTTAGAGAGATTTAGTTGAAACTGCCTGCGAGATGCCAATCCGCAAGTTAGCAACTTATGTAAAATGCACAACAGTTTCACATTCCAGTGACTGGCTGAAAATAAACAGGGTAGTATTACTGGCTACAATAATCATAAAGAGATGTCTTAGATGGCATCAGTACAGCTATAGTGATGAAACCAAATCAAATATCGGAAACAAAAGGTGAGAATTTTGACTGCAGCTTGATGCTACGTGTTTACAGGGGAGCAGCAAAGTTGCCGATGCTCATGTGAGCACCATTCAAATTGCAACGCTAATAACCCACCAGCCCATTAACATATTGACACCTTAAAGTCTTTTATTTTGACACATCACTAAGAAATGTTGACTGATAAAGAGAATTAGATTAGTCTTGGAGAAGAACCGCATGTCACTGTGGTTAGCATACCACTGTTGCCCACACAATTATTTTAAAAAATGAGTCTGTTTGCGAGCTAACACTAGTTATATGGGTGATAGGTACAACAATTCCATTCACCAATGGGAAAACGTGAAATGGCCAGGGGTAAAATTGAGTTTACGTATCAAGGATCAATGTTTTAGCATTCAAAATCTAACCGACAATATAATATTTGCATACTGAAATGTGACGAGTGATCTATAGAGCGCTGCAAGTCACTTTGGATAAAAGTGTCTGCTAAATAAATAAATCTAAAAGTAAAATGTAATGAAGTGATGACATTTTTTGCCGGCCAACCCATAAGTTAGCATCACCCTGGTTCTATTGGGTCCATTGGCTTTCGGATTATTGCAGAAAATAAGCTTTGTGACCAACAAAAGTTTATGATTCTTACACGTTACGTTCATCTTCACAATAATCTTCACAAATGAACACAACTATTAGTAATTTTGAAGCCTTAAATACAACCACCTGAAGTAAAAAGCTAAAAGAAGGCTATAAATGAAAAAAAAAAATTCAGTCTTTATTAAAAAAAAAAAAACATTTTCCCTGAAAGTTTGAGTTAAAATACCAAAGAGCCCAACACAATGAGGCTGTGAAAGTGACTAAAAAGTGAGTAGATGAATTTGCCTGTCCAAATGATGTTTATTTTTCCTGACAGCCTCTGTAGTCCCATTTAGCCACTTGTTAGCAACCTGCCTTTTTCAAGACAAGTGAAAGCTTCAAAAAGAGGTATAACTGATGTATTTTATGTCATTGAATACAATGTGAAAATATCTTGAGGTTGTGTTCACCACAGACCTTATTTCAGGTATTTAACAAAAAACCCATTTAAAAAAAAACATTGAGTTCAGCATGATGGAAACAGAAGTGCTAAATGCGAACTCCTTTCTGGGTTTTGGCCTACAAAAATACATCATCCCTGCAGCGCTCTATTTAGATACCTTTTTTTTTTTTTTTTTAATCTATTCTTGCATCTATTTAAAGATTGACTTAAACTTATACCAAACTTGTCTTGAACTAATGTTTTGAACTTGACCTTATACTGACACCTAGTGGTGTGGAAGAAGCATTATGCAAAAGAAAAGGTTAACAGTCATTTTATGTGCCATTCAGCCAACCATGATTAGTTTATATAGCCAGCAAAGTTCTCAATAATGAGGGGTTACCAAGATAAAACAAATAAGATTTAGTTGATCACATTATTCCACCATGAGACAACCCTCACCATGAAAAATAAAACCACCTTATTATGCTTTTAAAACATGATTTTTTGAGTACAAACAAAGTCCCTTTTAAGGAAAGTGAGTTTACTTGGCGGTCATATTTGCAATTGCTTTCCACACTCACATAAGTATCATATTTCAAATCGGCAACAAAATCGCACATGAACTATTTCTTAAATAGTATTAAAAAAAGCTCATATTTCAGGCTGGTCCAGCCAACATGAAGTCCTAAACATGCATCTCTGAACACTGACTGGCAACTGGAACTTCTAACGGCAGCTGCAGTGACATGATCACTTTACCAACTGGCGATTGGCTCTTTTATTTAGGCGGGATTTCTGCCATGTTGCTGTTAGACTTTCTCCCATTCATAAGAAATATGAGTGCACCGTCTTTGTATATCTAAAGGCTTTAGTATAAATGATTTTAAACATATATTTGACAATTTCATGCTATTCTTTTTTTTTTTTTTTATGTGTAAGACGACAATGCTGTTCTTGCAAGCACGGTTTCTTCCATCTGGAAATGCAAATCTAGTTTATCTTTTTCAGTTCTATTTGTACATTATAGTGAAGTTACCGCACACAAGCACACATGCTAACAATGGTCAGCATAGTGCCGCATTGCAAGCGTGGTCTCATAGCTGTGGTTTTAGCGAGCATCCACAATTCATCCCCTCCACACAAAGAACATGCTCTTCTTGCACTGCGTTCGACAAACACACAGTGTTTCATTGGCTCGTGGCTTGGCCTAACAGTCTATTTGTTTTGCTCTGTGGTAAGCATACATGCACCTCGCTGTCAGATTTCCAGCTCATAAAAAGGCAGAAAAGATCAAAGAAAGGGATGAACAGGATGTGGTTAGCCTACATGAAAACTCAAACACTCTGTTAACTTGGAGAAAGGTTCTGAGGAGACAAAAACGAAACCACAGTGAGTGTGGGGTTAGATGTACAAGATGCAAGATGTACAAAATTAGAAGATCTGTGTGTACCCTGATGCTACTATTGAGATTTTGATCATATGCTCTTTAATCGAGATTATATATATATATATATATATATATTAATAAAAACTATAATAGTACTATATCTCAAAATATTAAATGATAAAATAGCACTGACAGAGTAAGATATCAAATGAAGTGGCATTTATTTTTAAAAACATGTAGCACAAAAAAAAAAGTTTATTAGGTTTCAAGTTACCAAATAATCAATACACTTATTAAAGTTCGCATTCTAGGGTTTCTATCTAATGCAATGGCATTCAGACATTTGTAAATGTGATTCAAGTGTCCAAATACTGTATAATCATCTAGATCAGCAGGTTTAATTTTTCTTATGCTCTTTAGAAAACTAATACACGAGACCCGTATGATCGTGTGGAAGAAAATTACGTTTTATCTGACCTTTTGTCTGGAAAGGAGGCTAAAATTACCAGTTATAAGTGTCAGTGTAGAGACAGAATACAATGTGTCAATGACATCAGAAAGGAAGTAGGTCAGTACAGTTGTTAGCATAGCGTTTGGTCTCACTAGATCTCTCTGTCCCTCACAATCAATCATTCTTCCACTGGTAACCCACAAAATGACGGCCTATCCGACAATGTGGGGGTTTTTGGAACCCCCGGTGGGAAGACTTGGGTTCCCACCCTGTGTGAATCACCCCAGTGGTCGCATTCATGTCCAGGATGCTGCACACACCCCCAATGTTGATTAACACTTCAAAGGCACTTCAAAAAAGCTGTTGCTATTAGCATCGCTCAAGCACTTTTTAACTATCAACAGTACAGGCAATTGCTAATAGGCAGAGAGCTGAAACTTAACACTTTAATATTAGTTAGCAGAACAATAGTGTAGCTGTTCAACTGACTAGCGTAACTGCAACAACAAAAACAGTCACCACAAGGGGATTTTTTGACATATTACCTCATCTACACCCCTAATGACAAGAACATTACAGAGTTTTAGGTTCAGACGGAAGGCACCTGTAACAAAGCTGGTCTCTAGCAAGCAAAGGTCAACATGTTCAGCAGAAATTGCTTTGCTATGACACTCATAACTTCTTCTGGTTCGCATTGATGACTGCTTGGTGAAATCTGACACACGAATGAACCAGCAAGACCACCTGCAAATGAAATAACTGTGCTCTTTCATTATAGGTAAAGCTCCCGGCGACAGCATGACTGAGAAGAGGCACTAATATCTGAGTAACTCCAGACACCACACACAGAAAGAGAACAGGTGGATCTAGTGTGAAATCAAACAGAAAAGTCACACCTGGTGAAAATGGAGTCCGCTTTCTCACGGGTGATGTGGGAACCTGAGGGAGAAGCTGAAGACAGCTCTCTGAGAGGTCTGGGATTGCGTCGTAAACGGGAATTCATACCTGATGACAAGAAAGATGCGACCTACTGGGAGAAACGCCGCAAGAACAATGAAGCGGCGAAGCGCTCCCGAGAGAAACGAAGGGTCAGTGACTATGTTTTGGAGACTCAATTGGTTTCATTGAGCGAGGAAAACGCTCGTCTGCGAGCCGAGCTGTTGGCTCTGAAGCTTCGATACGGTTTGCTTAACCCTAGGACGCCCTATTCCCCATCTCAAAGGGCTCTATCTCAGCTTCACGCTTTGGTGCCGCAACCTTTGGTTTCTTGCCCAGACAAAGACCTCTACTGGGGTAGACAGCAAGACAGAGAGGCTTCCAATCTGTCGGGGATCCAACAAGCACCCGTCTGTCTTGGCACCCACCCTGGGTCGGCATTCCTACCTACGCATCCTATGGCCATACGAAGAAATCACCCATACCTCCTAGACTTCCCCAGTCTCCATTCTTCTACAGCTGCACCTTTATTCTTTCCTCCACACCTCACCCCAGCAGCAGCATCTTGGGCAGGACGGCCCCTGCTCCAGCCAGGGAATCAGAGGATCTTTTCGGACGAGGAGGGTGAGCAGCAGGTGCCAGCAGATTCCAGCACCGCTCTGCCGCATAAACTAAGACTGAAGACGCAAACATCACAGCGCAAAGATAACAGAGCTAAATCTGCATCTCCAATTCCTGCATACATGTCAGATTGAAATCAAGCTCTGGACTAAAATGACTCAGTAGTTATGAGTCATCCTACTCATTTTTGATGACTGAACCTTGGCTATATTCCAGGAAGTTTGTTGCAAACCATCATGATAAAAAAATATTTCTTTGATCAAAAGGTCACACATTCAGATAAAGTTTCCGAGATACATTTTAAAGAGTCAATATTTCCATCATTGAGGTGGAAAGAGGAAAACTTGAATTGGGATAATGATGCACGTGTTTACTAATTTTTTTTAACCTTTAATATAGACAGGAAAGTAGGGGTGAGAGAACAGTCTTTTTTTTTTTTTTTTTAAGTGAAGTGACGTATGCCCAAGTATGGTGACCCATACTTGGAATTTGTGCTCTGCATTTAACCCATCCAAGTGCACACACACAGTAGTGAACACACACACCGTGAACACACATCCAGAGCAGTGGGCAGCCAATGCTGCGGCGCCTTGTTCAAGGGTCTCTCACCTCAGTCATGGTATTGAGGGTGGAAGAGAGCGATGTACATTCACCCCCCCCACCTACAATCCCTGCCGGACCTGAGACTCGAACCCGCATTGTAGGTGGGGGGAGTGAATGTACAGCGCTCTCTTCCACCCTCAATACCACGACTGAGGTGAGACCCTTGAGCAAGGCACTGAACCCCCAACTGCTCCCCTGGCGCCGCAGCAATATGGCTGCCCACTGCTCCGGGTGTGTGTTCACAGTGTGTGTCTGTTCACTGCTGTGTGTGTGCACTTGGAATAGAAATAGGAATAGAAAAAGGAATAGAAAAAGGAATTGACCGAAGTTGGACTTGAACAGGAATCGAACCATTCACTCTGCCATAACTTTCACAACCCCTTATTTTCATTTATTTCACTTCTTGCATTTGTAATGTATATGTATGCATGTACATTTATTTATTTGGCAGATGCCTTTATCCAAAGCGACTTACATTGCATCCAATATATACATTTTATCATTCATGCATTGCCTGAAAATTTAACCTTGGTGTTGCTAGAATCATGATCCACTGTTTGAGCTAAAGCAATGCTACCTTCTTGTTTAATTCAGAATATAATCTGTCTTATTTAATTCGGCCTCTGATTTTAGACTGGCATTTACACATTTGACAGATGCTTTAAGCAAATTATATCACATGCAAACTACACATTTTAACAGTTCATGCATTCCCCAGCATTCAAAACCATTACTAATGCATTGTATTACTGTTTTGAGCTACAGAAATTGTTAGTTTTGAGATCTCAAAGCAGCAACTAACAAAATTAATTAAAAACAAAACAAAACAAAAAAGAAAAAAAACTGAAAAAAACAGAACTGAAAAAGAAGTTAAAATATGTTATGTATTATAATCCAAAGCACATTGTAAACTGATACTGATGGCATGAAGTTTCTTTCAAAATGTGAATATATGTTTCTGAGAGGCCTAAAACAGTGACTGGTTAACCACCAATCAGATGCATGCAAATGAGACCAAATGAGATTTTAGAGAAACTCACCACGCCTCAGAGAGTCTGAAAGGAGGGGATAAGAGGATATTTCTGAAATCCTTTCGATCGGACTGGTGGAGGCTGCATGTTTGTACTTTTATTTGACTTCCATTTTGTCTTGTCACTGGCTGTGTCATGTGACATCTCAGTCATGTGACTTTATAGATATAGATTTATAGATATAGATTTTATAGTAAAGTAAGGTCATCTTTGACCTCTGTGAAAACAATTGCTTGCTTGCTACACAAAAGTTAAAGTTGTGATCATGCAATAAGTGGCCTGTACTTTCTGTAAACATTTTTTGAAAAGAATTTTAGAGATTTGAGTTCATATGAACCAGTGCAACACATGAGCAGGGTATACCTGCTGTAAACTAGTTTTAATTCAATTTCATGTTTTATTTTTAACTGCACAAAACGTTATGTATAGGTTTTGTAAAAAATGACACAGCGCCGATCTCTGATGATGCTGTAACTCTTGTTAAATTTATAGCATACAGTTTTAGACAAATGCACGATCAAGGTCAGCTTTTAGAGACAAATATCTCAGGTATGCACTGACTGGTCAACAAAACCAACTTCCACATCTCAGGAATTTTGCTTCTGTGATTGTTGGCCAAAATGACTTCTTACTCCATCATTTTAATATTGGTTTCTTCACATCAGTAACCTACTTCCACACTCCTTCAGTTTGTACAATTTGCTGAATCTCCTGAACCGTTGAAATCAAAACACCTCTACATTCAGTATTTCAGGGGCTGTGAAGAGCCATTTTGATGGTCATATGGGACTCATTTGAACTTGTTCATAAGAATCTGAACTCTTCTCAGTCTTCCTGAGTGCCACTTGCATTCAGGAATTGTTTAATGGACTTAGCAATAGACATGCTAAGTTCTTGCTAAATGCTTGAAGACAAATGCGTGCCTATGGTAACATGTTAGCAACAATAACTGCTGACAAACCATTAGCTGTGATGCTAATTGAAATCTGAAACCGACTGTATTTTACCTTGTGTTATTGACTAACTCGTTTTCATTTAGATATACAGTTTATGTAATTCACTTTTGCGTACATGCTATTTTAGCTTCACATTTCATTTAATGAAATATGAATGTATTCAATTATGGAACGATTTACAGACAAAAGCAGAAATAACGATTAGCTGAAAATGGTTTACCTTAAGTTTTCCCTTTACCATCAGATCACTGATCCCTTTTTGCAATCGTAATGGATTGCAAACAAAAAAAAAACAGATAGTGATCAAGTAATTTTACTTTTATTCATTTGCATTTGCATGTATGCATTTAGCAAACACTTTTTCGCAACTTGAACTCAAGGTACACTCTTTGTCATTTATTACTGAACCTAGTGTACAGCAGTGTCATGCTAACAGCTAAGCTACATTGGTACTTAAATTACATATACTTTTATATTGTTTTAGCACTTTTTGTTTTAACAAAGATTCACTTTTATTTCAATCTTTAGTTTAGCTGCATTAAGTTGTATGACCTTCAGAATGTTTTCATTTTTACAATAAAGTGCAAATGAAAATCTCAGCTTTTTGACTTTATTCATTTATTGTACACAGCATAGCAGAGTTCAGTAACACAGAACATAGAATTCATTATTATAATATGCAGTGAGTATTACTTTTATCTTGATTGAGTTTTCTCCTTCACTTACGGCAGTGAGACTGGCCAAGTGTGTGAGTTGTGCTGCTTGCTTCTGGTGACAGGTTGAAGGACTCCACGGGGCTGCTGCGGTTTGTAAGTGTGAAAGGGGCCTGCAAAAAAAGTTTCAGTGGTGTGTAGGGGTGGGAAAGGTGGAGTGGGGGTTTCTCAGCACTTATTAGTCACCGTTCATGATCAATTGCGATGTCTACAGCACATACACCGCAAACACACTGCACAAAGTGGGGAGACCGAGCAACAATCCGCTAGTTACCACTAAAGGCAAGCGAGTGATTCAGTGACTCGCATAACAAGTCGAACGCAAAGAAATCTTGCATAACTATGAAACTGCTTCATTAACCAATGTTGCTTTTAGCATTTTTGCTGTTTAAAACTGAATTAGCTTACATTTCACACTCACTTTACTGTTAAAAGTTTTTCATTTCTTCTTTTTCCTGCTGTAATCACCTGAGAGATGAAGGGAGAGAAGTACAATGAAGAAATAATAGGAAGTTAAAAGTATATTGTCTTTGTCTTTTACATCTGTAAACCACATCCTCCAGTGCCAGATCTAGTTGTTTTCTTGTATTTATCAATGTTGAAAATCTATCTTAGGCTACTTCTGGTAGTTCCTATGGTGCTAGCAGAAGCTACAAGCTAACAGACTTGCTAATTTTAACAAATTACATGATACAGCTTAATAAGTTTGGATTCTGACTGGTCAGTCAGACAGGTCAGTTTTGCAGTCAAATATTTTTGTACATTGATTGCTAAGCTATATATATATATATTAGTGCTGTCAAACGATTAATCGTGATTAATCGGGCTGCAATATAACAAAGAGTGAAAAATTTAAGGGGGTCTGAATACTTTCCGTACCCACTGTATATATCCCTTGCAACCAATTTGCTAAATAGCAATGCTAACTGTCTCTTAGCACCTTTTCTTTTCACTTATTAAATCAATTTAATCTTAGATCCATATTTTAGACCTATTCTATCACTCTTTTATATCATTCATCAAAGATATAAACAACATATTGTATCCACAGACTGTTTAAAGAAACTTAGCCTAGCTATACCAACACTAACAGAAGTAAAGGCAGCTTTAAGAAATATACACCGCATTCTTCAACATCCTTCCCTAATTACAGTCTTGATTCATTAATCACACTAATTGTCATCTCTTTTCTGTCATTCACCAAAATGTAAACAGTGGCATTGTTATATTTCATCCGCAAACTTAGCCTATAGCTATGCCAACTCTAACAGAAGAAATGATTGCTTAAAAAATGATACACCACATTCTTAAACATCCTTCCTTAATGACAGTCTTGATTCATCAATCACACGTTTTTCTTTCAGTTTGAGTCACTGCCTGCCATATGCACAGGCTTTGTGCAATGACATCATAGGTTGGCAAAAGTGCAAAATTATACCATGAAGATGAATATTCCAGACAGCAACGCTACTAGACATTTTGTAGGCGTAATAATGATTCAGTACTTCCATAACAAATCCATCAATCACAAAATACAAAAGTGCAGTGCATATTAAAAATGGAAACACAATGCAAAAGACTTTGAAAACACAGAACAATGCCTGCACGGATCATTATCTGGATTTGTACAGAGTTCAGAGCTTTATAATCGGTAAAAGCATATTAATATTGCATTGATAGAGATCTTGCATCTTTGCTGAGAAAGTGAAACACAGCACTTCTCTTTTTCAGTTTATTCATAGACTGTTTTGTACAAAATACCTGGTCACAGGCGACTAGATCTACAACATCATCAAGACATCAAAACCACTCTCATTTTGTAATACGATTACACTTATTTTTTTTGTGTTTATATGTAAATAAGAGGGTTGTCGTGTGAGAATGTTGTGTGAGAATGCCGTACTTACCTGTGTGATATTGGCAATTTAGAGACAAGGTCAAAAAGGTCGTCTCTTTAAATATTTTACTTATGTTTTGAATATCTTTTTTATAAGTACATCATTATTTGCCTTCATGTCCGTACTTTTTACCTCCTGCAGGAAACACAACTTTGTTTTGTTTCATAAAGCAGATGGTATGAGTAGAAAAGTGTCATGACAAGAAAATAATTGACATTTTCTTGTGCACACATGACTGTACCAGATGCTTATGGCCAACAAATTGCTCAGCTGTCATGTCATTTCATTTAAAGTTTGTGGGACCGAATCAAAGTATGCTGACAAGCGGCTGTCTTTACAGAAACTTTTTAGGCAAAAATGGTCAAAACCGTTTATAGAATTAGGGCTGGTGGTTTGTAAGTTGGTTGTTACCAATGTAAACCTGAAGACGAATGTTCAACTGACATTGTTCTCCTGCTATTCTCCTCTGATTGGGTTTTGTTCTGGATTTAAAAATAAAAGGTAAACTTTAGTTTCTATGCCAGTTTTTCAAACAAAAAATAAAAAATAATCAATAAATAAATAATCAAAAATGCTGTGAAATGTTTATTATGAACATCATCTTGGCATTTGCAAAAATAAAAAAAACGTTTGAGAACTATTAAAGGTTATATATGCATTACATTACATAAATTAGTCAAAAACATTCATATTTAATATTACTTCATGATGACATGAAGAACCAAAAAAAGAAGAAATTCCAACACAGGGACTTAGGTACATGCTTTCATAAACAGCATTTTTACACAATATAACAACAATATTCTTAACATATTTACGAATAAACCTATCTAGAACATAAAAATGTTGTGGATCCCCATTTATTTCATTTATATTAAATCAAATTGTAAAATGACTTTTTACAAAAATATCAAAAAGCTTCTTTTAATTAGTTTTACAGTAGCTATTGACAAATTCTGGCAGTTTGTAATGTGCATACAACACTGCATAAAATAAGACAGTACAGGGTACATTTGATCTGTTCAAACAAAACGGCTCATAATCTAATTAATTTAAGCTTTGTGTTAAATAAAGATTGATTGGTAGAAGGCAATAAGTTTGAGACAGATACACTGTGTTCTTTAAACTGTCGTATTTTAACATTAGGGGGCAGCAGAACAGCTTTGTAAAGTGCCTTTCTGTTTCATTTTAAGCGGAAGCACTTGAGCAGTCTAACTCATCATCAATGCGATTTATAAACAGAAAATACAAGCGTAAAAACTCCATGATGGATCAAATGATCAGTGGCCTGTGCACAACAAGCTATCGCTGACTGTATTTTGTATACTCATGCAAATGAACATGAAATTAGTTATGAGACTTGCACTTATATAGAAGAGGCATAGACATGTGTACAACTGAAGGTCACCAGTAATAAAACGCTCAGAAAGATTTAGTTTTTTAAACCAGTAGCGCTTTAAGAGTTTTCACACATCATCTTTGATTAATTTAAGAACATTTTATATTGAAT